ATAAAGGAAAACCTATTGCTGCTATGGGTGATGATGAGCTCCGTGCTTCTGCTGCTGCGCTGGTGCAGCAGAGAGCTGCAGCAGAAGAGGAAGGGCAAGAGCAACAACGTAAACCCTAAACCCTAAACCCTCCTAAACCCTAAACCCTAGATAAATCTATCTCTTTTTACATTGCTGCCTAACCATCGAGAAACCCTCGCCTTTGATTCAACCAGAAGAGTTCTTAATCAGCTTTGAGGGTTTAGGTTTTACATTCTAGGGTTTAGGGTTTATATTCTAGGGTTTAGGGTTTAGGGTTTAGGGTTTAGGGTTTGTGTGCAGTGCTGGACGGGGGTTTGTTGTTTTTTGGTGGGGGGTCTGATGCCCCCAAAAGCAGAAGAGAAATAATGAAGGAAATAATAAGCAAAAGTAAAGAAGCAAAGGCCCAAGTAAACCCTAAACCCTAAACCCTAAACCCTAAACCCTAAACCCTAGTTTTATTGTTGAGGGTTGTACGGTGTACCATGCCGAGAATCCCGCTAAACCCTAAACCCTAAACCCTAAACCCTTTTCATGAAGGCTTGAGATTCTTTACTATGGAGGGGTTGGATTTCACTACATATATTTAGGGTTTAGGGTTTAGGGTTTAGGGTTTAGGGTTTTGAGTGCTGCAGCATGCGAGAGAAGCAGAGGAGCAGCAGCAGCTGCTGCAGCAGCTTGAGCTGCAGTTTGCTGCTGTTAGAGAAGACCTGCCATTCGTTAAACCCAAAGAAAAGGAACCGTGAGGGTTTAGGGTTTAGGGTTTAGGGTTTAGGGTTTAGGGTTTGAGGCTTGCTGCGGAAACTCCAGCACGAATGGGCCCACAACAGCTAGGGTTTAGGGTTTAGGGTTTAGGGTTAAGGGTTTAGGGTTTAGGGTTTGCGTGGTGTTTAGGAGCCTTGAGGACCTGCTGGCAAAGTATACAAAAGGGGGGGGGAAGCAGCAGCAGGAGACAACACAGCAGCAGCAGCAGCAGCAGCAGCAGCAGCAGCAAGAGAAGCCTTCACTGTTTAGCTTCCTTAAAAGCAGCAGCAGCAGCAGCAGCAGCAGCAGCAGCGGTCCTTTGTTGCTTCTGGACCCTGACGGCAGCAGCAGCAGCAGCAGCAGCAGTGCATCAGCAGCAGGAGGAGCAGCAGCTGCAGCTAAGAGACCGGCCGAGGGAGCAGCAGCAGCAGCAGCAGCAGCAGCAGCAACAGCAGCAGCATATGATAGAGCAGCAGCAATGCTGCGGTTCTATCCTCGTGTTGCAGCAGGAGAGAAGCTGCTGACGGAAGAAGAAATCAAAGAAAAAGCAAAAAAAAAGCTGCTGCAGCAGCAAAAGAAGCAGCAGCAGCTGCTGCAGCAGGAACACAAACAAGGTATAACACACATATACATCCAAACAAGGGTTTAGGGTTTAGGGTTTAGGGTTTGGGGTTTAGGGTTTGGGGTTTAGAAAGAGTTTCTATTGATGGATTAGGGTTTAGGGTTTAGGGTTTAGGGTTTAGACTCAAACCCTAAACCCTAAACCCTAGCCTGCAACATAGACAGCTCCGTACAACTGCACTAGCATTCCTAGGGTTTTTATTTGGGGTTTAGGGTTTAGGGTTTAGGGTTTAGGGTTTAGGGTTGAGTGTGCAGAGGAGGAGGAGCTCAAGAAAGAAGAAGAAGCGTTCTGGGCTCAGGCTGCAGACACTGCTGCTCCTAGCAGCAGCAGCAGCAGCAGCAGCAGCAGCAGCAGCGAGAGCAGCAGCAGCAGCAGCAGCAGCAACGAGAGCGACAGCAGCAACGACAGCAGCAGCGAAGAGGAGGAGGATGAGGAGCTGCAGGAGTTGCTGCAGCAGGACGATGAAGAAGAAGAAGAAGAAGCAGCAGCAGCAGCAGCAGCAGCAACAGCAACAGAAGCAGCAGCAGCAGCAGCAGCAGATGCAGGAGAAGAAGCAGCAGCAGGAGCAAGAGAAGCATCAGCAGCAGAAGCAGCAACAGAAGCAGCAACAGCAGCAGACAGCGGGCGCACTGAATCCTCTGCTGCTGCAGCAGCAGCAGCAGCAGCAGCAAAAGCAAAAGCAACTGCAGCAGCAGCAGCAGCAGCAGCAGCAGCAGCTGCTGCTGCTGCTGCTGAGATAGACAGCGACGGGGAGGAGTTGACGCTGCAGCAGCAGCAGCAGCGGCAGCTGCTGCTGAATGAGCAGCACGAGCTGCTGCTGCCGTATAAACCCTCGCTACCTAGAAGAGCTGAGGATACACCCCAATTGTTTAGGGTTTGGAAACCCTCGTCGCAGGCTAAGCTGCTGCACCGGTAAACCCTAAACCCTAAACCCTAAACCCTAAACCCTGATAGGCTTGGATACCTTCATAGTTCTGGGCCTAAACCCTAATATGTGGTACTCTCTCTAAACCCTAATCCTAAACCCTAAACCCTCAGGATTAGGGTTTTGGGGTTAGGGTTTAACTCCTCTTGGCTGTGCATAACTTAGGGTTTAGGGTTTAGGGTTTAGGGTTTGTGGTTGCAGGTACTTGATTCTCTATCCTCTGGATGATGCTCAATACACCCCGCGGCTGCTGCTGCTGCTGCAGGGTTTGCTGCTGCACCTCGTGCTGCACTGCAGCAGCAACATAAGCGACGGCACAGGTAAACCCTAAACCCTAATAAACCCTAAAAAACCCTAAACCCTAAACCCTAAAAAACCCTAAACCCTAAACCCTAGTGGCGAATCCTAAACCCTGAAACCCAGAAAAGTATAAACAGAGTAAACCCTAAACCCAAACCCTAAACCCTAAACCCTAAACCCTTGTCTTTGCTGCTCAGGGGCATCTTTCTTTGAACTGTGGCAG